AAAATAACTTCAGATTTAGGAAGAAGAGAGAAAACGTGTTTGATAAAAGTTTGAGCAGTTTCAATTCGACGGGATGCGGTTTACTATTATTTCTTGATTGAAAAATTAATTTTTACATTTAAACAAAATGTAAACGTTAATATAATTTCAACATCACGACGAAGAATATCAATGTACGTATGATACGTACGTTTTAATGTTCACAGATTGTTAGTAAAATTGTGTTTGAAGAATCACGAGGAGTTGTCTAATTGGAAAGTGTAGTAAGTGCGTCATTAAATTAACGCTTCTGATTCTGACACTTCTCGATAATAACACAGGCAAAGTGACAGAGACACTTAACTCTAGTAAAATGAGAAACTGAGGATTATTAGTATTCACGTTTATTCCAGAATAAAGTTGTAAAATGATGTTGCGAAATGTTAAATATCTTTGAAACGTGTTGCCGATAGACATGTGTGAAAATGTTGTAAACACGAAGGTACGAGGATTAAAGGAAAATGTTAAAAGTAATTGCACTGGTTGCAGCAGTAATAGGAAAAAGCGGCAAGAATAAAATGTAGAAAACTATGTAAAAATCTGAAAGGTAATCCGTATGTAGATTAAAAAGATATCCCTCCCATCCTTTCATTCTTTGCATTGGCCTTTTTTACATTTTCTCTCTCTCTCTCTCTCTCTTTCTCTCTGCCCCAATAGAAGAGAACTTCAATTCGTACCGATTCGTAAGAACGAAAGCAGAAGCCGAAAGGACGAGATAAAACGAAAGAATAAAGTGTGTCTCTCTTCTCAACGAAAAGATAGCGATAAAAAGTAAAAGAAAAAAAAAAAAATCTATGAGAAAGAATATTGAAATCGTGGATACGTCGTTGATTTAAAAAAATGAATTCAATGATTGTGGAATTGTATAAATTTCCAACGATTAATGAAATTCAGAAAGAAACGAAAAAGAAGAGAAATTGTTGGAAAGAAGGGACATATATTTAAAAGAAATGGAAATAAATCGAAGAACAAGATCTAATCCAAATCCTCGCGTCAGGCTGGCCGCATATTTCTTCATGAATTTATGGAGAAACGGGGAAAATTTGCTTTATCTTCTGCGCTTCGTTCGTTGCCCCGTCTTTTCTTCATTTTATGTTACCAGGCTACATGGTTTTTCGCGTTTAAAACGAATGCCCGTGTCACGGTTTAACAAAATTCACCTTTCTCCTCTTATTTCCCATCCCCTTATTCGCCATTTCCAGCCGTTCTTTGCCTCGTATACGCATCGGTAAACAGTCACGGCCAACGTAAATACGAGTATAGACATTTTTGATCGGCGGATAAGAAGAACGAGGAAGCATAAATCTTCGATGGAGAAACTGGAGCGGCGGAAATGAAAAATAAAAGAACGTTTGACTGAATTTCTATATGATACCGTTTCAACTTATAATTCTGCATTAATAAATCATAAATAATCATCTACTTTGTAAATGATCTTGAACAATGATCTCGAAACGATAATGAATCGTTATCTAATTAGTTAGAAATATCCTTCAAATTGATTGAATTATCTCATGTTCGATTATCTTTTGAAAAAATTACCACTTGTTGGAAGAATTTCTATTCCATCCATTCCGTATTCTGCACACAATTTTATAATCGAAGCGCACAAAATTTATGAATGAAATTTATGAAATATATATTCTTTAACTTGGGAAATTCCCCTTGGATCGCTTGTTACGCTTCTAAGATATGCCCCATGTTCCAAAATTTTCCCTACTACACGATACATTGTAATTTTGCAAAATTGCAAAACGTTTTCAGAGTCAGGGAGGGGGCAGATGAAAACACGCGATCCTCGGGATCAATGAAATTTTCCAAAACTGGTGCAGGCCTCCGTATTCTGGATCGGTATTACGATTATCATGATTGGAATATAATGCAAGTGGCGTAGAGGATTCTCAGAAACGCGGTCGAGGCTTGTACCGTTTGCGGTTCACCGGCCATCCAATGGAGAAAACAAGGGGTTGTAAGGATGGAGACCTGGATGGAGGAAGGAGCGGTGGCACAGGGTGAACGGCCACGTGCAATCTCACGGCTGATTGCGCAAGTTTTACAAGTTCATCCGATATCGTACAGTCGCAATACCATGGAAATGGACAGGAACAGAAATCGGTGCCGATCCTCTTTGTCCCCTCTTCGTTTCGTCGCCACGAGGGACCGATGCAAGCAAAGTGTAGCAAAAAAGGGGGAAAAAAGAAAGGAAGAAAGAAAGAGAGAAAAATGAATCGAAGAAATTGCGGGAAATCGATAATCGAGGTAGCGAGAGTTATCATAGAGTTGTCTTTATTGCGGAGAGGACATTGAGTGTAATTTGACTGGATATAACAGTCAGTAGATCATTGAAACGAGCGAAAAATTTAATTTCGATTCTCGAACCTCGAGTGAGGTAATAGGAAATTCGTTGACTATTTATCCTGAATTATTTTTCCTCCGCGACTGAGGACACATATCTGTTTTATGAGTCTGAAAGGTAAAGGAATATTAGATGAATACGCAGCGAAAATGAAGAGAAACGCTTCTATCTCCGTTGTATTTTATCTAACGCAAATTTAAATTACTTGTAACTTAATGAATAAGAGATTTTTGTCATATCAACTTTTTCGTTTTGGCTTCTAGAACGAATCCTTTTTTTTTAGAAATATCTCCTATAAGTATATATCAGCTTGAAATATTTCGATACATCTTGAAAAATACCAAATTCCAGATAGAACATTTTTAATTAAGAAACGTAGTAAATATTTGACAAATTCATCGAACGATAATTAATTTTTTTGCAAAATTCCGAGAGATCGTTTGATTTTTCCACACGAGTTAAACTCTTTCGATAACTGGGAAAGAGAGAGAGAGAGAGAGAGAGAGAGAGGAGT